TTAAAGTTTTGTTTTTTGTTTTTTAGATTCTATTTGCTTTTATGTGTTGGCCTGAACGTGTGTGCATCATGTGTATAGAATCCCTGCAGAGGCAAGAAAGGGGATTGAATTCCTGGGACTGGAGTTACAAACAGTTGTTAGCTGCCATGTGGATGCTGGGAATTGAACCTGATCCTCTGGAAGAGCAGACAGTGCTCTTAATGCTTGAGCCATCTCTCCAGCACCTATGCTAAAGGTTTTATGGATCACTAAACACTTTTTTTTTTTTTCATAGTGTCTGCTCTATTTGTGTATTCTCACAGCAGTACACAAGGAACACTAGTTCTGTATCTTAATCAACACTGTGGTGGTTAGAATGAGAGTGGCCCCCTTAGGCTCACAAGTTTGAATGCTTGGTCCTTAGCTGGTGGAACTGTTTGGGAAGGATTAGGAAGTGTGGCTTTATTGGAGGGGTGTGTCACTTCAACAGCCTTTGAGGATTCAAATGCCCAAGCCATTTCCAATTAGCACTCTGCCTCCTACTTGTGGATTGAGGATATAAGCTCTCAGCTCCTTCCTCAGCCCCATGCTTGCGTTCCTGCTGCCATGCTTCCCACCTGATGGACTATAACCTTCTGGAACCATGAACCCATAAATGCTTTCTTTTGTAAGTTTTCTTGGTAATGGTGTCTCTTTACAGCATTAGAAAAGTGACTATGACACATAGCTGTTTCTGTTTTTATTAAAAAAAAAAAAAAAAAAGTCCTGAGCTGGATTATATTATGCCCAGTTTAAAATATTTTTCCTTTTTAAATTAAAAAAATTCTATTTTATGTATGTACATACATATCTGAAGGTGTGTATTGTTAAGTTCACTACATGTGTGCAGTGTTCACAGAGTCCAGAACAGGGCATCATAACCCCTAAAATTGCAGTTAGGGTAGGTTGTGAGCTGTCCTGTCTATGTTCTGGGAATTTAACTCTGTTCCCCTGCAAGAGTAGAATGTACTCTTAACCATCTTTCTAGCCTCAAATCCTTTCATTTTTTGATTGTGAGCCTAGCCTTTAAAGCCCAAATTCTTTTTTAAGGTCGATGTTTACTGAACCTCACATTTCTCTTGAGCTTTCTTTCTTTTCTCTTTTTCTTTCCAGCCTGAATTCAGAAATCTGCCTACTTCTGCCTCCAGAGTACTGGGATTAAAGGCCACTATCGCCTAGCTATGAACATGTATTCTTTTGTTAAAGTGTTGTTTAGTAATCTTAGATCTAGTTAGCTTATATTGTGTTAATTCAATATATCAAATCCTGGGAGATTATAATAGTCTCTTTGTGACATTTATTTCTTGAATAGCATTAGAATTTTTCAGTGACATAAGACCACAGTTGTTTCTGATAGTATTGAGTTTAAGCAGATAGGTGTTTTAAAAAAATATTCATTGAATTATCTTCTTTTGGGGGGGGGTTTGAAACAGGGTTTTGGAGGCTATCCTGGAATTAGCTCTTGTAGACCAGGCTGGTTTTGAATTCATAGAGATCCGCCTGCCTCTGCCTCCCTAGTACTGGGATCAAAGTCATGTGCCACCACTGCCCAACATCCTTGAATTATTTTAATGCTGTTTAATGTGTAACATTAAGACATATTTTTTATGTTTTCTGACCTTTTAGGGTTTTTGGTTTTGGTGATGGGGATGAAACTACAAGCTTAAGCATGATGAACATGCATTCCACTTATGATTTCCACCCCAGACTCATCTTTCAGGATTTTAATTTAGGAAATTGATAGTTAACATGCCCCTTAGGGTCTAAATAGCTTTTTATTTTTGACAATACCATAATTCCAGAGGCCTAATTGAACAATAACATTTATTAATTTGTCCAAATGTGCTAAAGGATGTTTTCTTTGGTTTTATCCTCTAAGTGCTTTCATATTCATTAGAGGAAGAGTCAAATAATTTATATGGTGCTATAGGGTGCTAGGTACTAGGGAAATTACATAAATCACAACAGTATTTCTTTTTCTCTTTCCTTTCTCTCTCCTTCCTTCCTTCCTTCCTTCCTTTCTTTCTTTCTTTCTTTCTTTTAATGGCTTTTCAAGACAGGGTTTCACTGTGTAGCCCTGGCTGTCCTGGAACTCCCTCTGTAGACAGGCTGTCCTCAAACTCATAGAGAACCACGTGCCTCTGCCGCTCGAGTGCTGGGATTAAGGTGTGTACCACCACCACCCAGCTTCACAATAGTATTTTTATGTATTGCACTAGATTATATGTTAGCTACACTAGACATAAGGAACAACAAGCCATCAGGCTGATGGCTCAATAGGTAAATAGCTCTTACTGTCAAGCTTGACACTTTAAATCTCCGGAATCCACACAGTAGGAGAGAACTGATTCCTATAAATTGCACTCTAACTTCTAAATATATATGCCATAGCATACATGTATACTAGAACTCAAAAGCATGCATGTGTGTGTGTCATGCATGCATGCGCGCGCCCACACACACACACACGTAAACACGCACACAAATGTAAAATTTCTTGTCTTTAAAAAGAAACAACTTAGGCCACACACCTTTAATTTCAAGCTTGGGAGGCAGAGGTAGGTAGATCTTTGAGTTCAAGGCCAACCTGGTCTACAAAGTGAGTTTGAGGCCAGCTGGGTCTATAAAGCATGTTCCAGAGAAACCCTGTCTCAAAATCCACCCCTCCCCCCAAGAAAGGAAACAACTCTTTTCCTCCATCTAAGATCCTATTGTCATCATGGGTTCTGCCCTACCCAGTGTTACTGGCATTGTAAGAACAAGTTGTTTGCCAGGCAGTGGTGGGGCATGACTTTAATACCAGCACTTGGGAGGCAGAAGTAGAGTGAGTTCAAGGCTAGCTTAGTCTACAAAGGAGTTCCAGGACAAGCAGAACTATTACATAGAAAAACCCTGTCTAAAAAAATGGGGCTGGAGAGTTGGCTCAGAGGTTAAGAGCACTGACTGCTCTCCCAGAGGTTTTGAGTTCAATTCCCAGCAATGACATGGTGGCTCACAACCATCTGTAGTGAGAACACTACCCTCATATGGCTTGCAAGGATTCAGGCAGAAAGCTGTACAAATAATAAATAAATAAATCTTAAAACAAAAAACCACACCAACAAAACAGAGTAAGCTGTGTACCCAAAGGTTTGCTTCTGTGGAGGTATCTTTGATGCTAAGTTCTGCCTCTTTGACTTGGGGCAGAAGGAGGTAAAGCTGATGAATTCCTTCTTTGTGGCCTTGTGTCAAAGGAGCAGCTTTTTATGAAGCCCTGGAGGTGGTATTTGTGCCAATAATTAAATGGTAAAGAGTTGTGGCAAGGATGGCTTTCATCTTCCATTGAGGCTCTGCCCTTTTCCATGCCATCTTAATAACTTAGTGCTGTGGCTGATTGATAGGCTGCAGACAGGTATGTGTAGTATCTTTGTGGAGACCCAGGGCATAGTGAAGTCCACACAATTCATAATGCCCAGGTCATCATGTCCATTCATACCAAGCTTCAGAATAAGGGATATGTGATTGAGGCTCCTAGTAGAGCCACGTTCAAATTTCTTGACTGCCAGAAAATACACATCCCACAGAAGTGGGGCTTTAAGCTTAATATAGATGAATTTGAAGACATGGTCGCTGAGAAGCAGCTCATCCCTGATGTCTGTGGGAGCCAAATACATCCTCATTTGTGGTCCCCTGAATAGGTGTCAAGTCCCAAATTCCTGAGAGCGCTCATGTTCAGTAATAAATCTCACATCCAGTCTGAAAAAAAGAAAAAGAAACAACTTGAACACACATTTCAAACACTTAAAATCAAAACTTGAACACACATTTCAAACACTTAAAATCTCTATCTCTGTCCATTATTGCTTGTGAATGTTTTGCCTGTGTATACATATGTACAGTGTGTGCATGTTCGGTGCCTGAGGAGGCCAAAAGAGGGTGCCAGATCCCCTGAGCTGGAGTGAAGAATATTTGTAAAACATTATGTGGGAACTTTGTATCTCTTTAACAACAAGTGTTCTTAACCACAGAGCCAGCTCTCAGTCCCAAGAATATACTGGTTTTACTGCTTATCTTAAATGATAACAGTTTTCCTGGTCTGATTGACTTCTGTTTTCTTTTTTATTTTGTTTTTTGAGATAGGCATTCTCTGGGTATCCTTAGCTTTCCTGGTGCTCTGTAGACCAGGTTAAGGTTAGCCTGGAACTGAGTGAGATCTACCTGCTTTTGTCACCATGTGCTGGGATTAGAGGTGTGCACCACTACTGTTTTCTTAAAATAGGTTCCACAGATATATACTAATTTCCTACTTCGGTTGGTCTGTCTCTGTATCTGTATATTTGTCCCTCCCTTCCTCCCCCCTCCCTCCCTCCCTCCCCTCCTTCCTTCCTTCCTTCCTTCCTTCCTTCCTTCCTTCCTTCCTTCCTTTTTTGATGTTGTTGGGTTTTGTTTTGTTTTTGAGATAGGGTCTCTCTCTGTTTCTCAAGATGGGTTTCTCTGTGGCTTTGGAGGCTGTCCTGGAACGAGCTCTTGTAGACCAGGCTGGCCTCAAACTCACAAAGATTAGCCTGCCTATGCCTCCGGAGTGCTGGGATTAAAGGCATGTGCCACCGCCGCCTGGCTTCTTTCTTCCTCTTTTGAAATATAACCAAGATAGAGGTTGGGTTAATATTCAACTTCAGGGAAAGGCCCTGGTCCCACTCAGCATTTTACAGCTTCTTTTATTATTGTCTATTCAGACAAAAATCTCTGCTGTTATAGAAAATTAAGCCATTCCTCTTAGTTTATTCTAGTGATAATCTAGTACTATCATGATTATACAAATAACATTCACATTTTTCCCTTTGACCCCAAAGACTTTTTCCTCTTTAATACAATTTTTAGTTATACTTACTAACACATGTTAATTTTAGATTCTATCACTAAAAGCCTCAGTTTGCCATTTATTTAGGCATTAATTGAAATAATAATATATTTAGAGCAGAAATGTCGTTTTTTAGGGAATCTAGAAAACATCAAAGCTGAGGTCAAACTGCAGTAACGATGGACATCAAGGAAGCTGTGTTTGGGACAAAAAGAAATCAAGATAAGGTAGATGCAAAGTAGAGAAAAGAGCTGAACAAGGGGTGGTAGATGGGATTGGGTTATATGCCACCAAAGGTATTGCCAGCTAGCATTGTGAAGAGGAAATACTGAAAAATGGGTTTATGTTGTCTTTTCCTTCTGAATGTACAAATTTTAACTGACATTCAGGTAGCAGAGTACTTGAAAAATTGTCATGTTTGGGGCAGCAGAGTAGAAGAATGCTTGCCTAGAACATGTGAAGCTCTGTGTTCAATTCCCAGAACTTAAAAAAAAAAAAAAAAAAAAAAGAGAGATTGTTTTGATAAATTAGTGGTTTCTTGTATTCTAGCTAATGTTTCTTTTTTTGTTTTTTTGTTTTGTTTTGTTTTGTTTTTTTGGTGGCTATTGAGGATGATAATGTTGTTAGTTGCTAAAACCAGTGCCAGAATCCAGCCTCAGCACAAATGCCTGGTAACTACCCAGAAGTTCAAAGAAGTTCAAATCTCCTTTTGGAGTGTTACATTGACAGTCAGTACAGAATATGCATTTTATTTTTGTGATGTAAAAATTGTACTTCTCCTCATAGCAACATGAACCGTGAAGACCGGAATGTGCTGCGCATGAAAGAACGGGAAAGGCGGAATCAGGAAATTCAGCAGGGTGAAGACGCCTTCCCACCTAGTTCTCCTCTGTTTGCTGAGCCGTACAAAGTTGTAAGTTATCTTTCTTTGAATGCTTTTTCACCTCTCTTACATGACATTTGTGCTTCTAGGGTGTTTTTTTTTTTTTTTAGATTTGTTTTTGTAGTGTTCACAATGTCAGGTTTTTGCAGAAGCCACAAGAGGATGTCTGGTGCCCAGCAGCTAGAGTTACAGGCATCTTGAGCCATCTGACATGGGGGGCTAGGAACCAAACTCAGGTCTTCTGGGAGAACAGTATGTGCATGCTTTTAACCACTGAGCCATCTCTTCAGCTCAGTGCAGGCCTTTAATTGAAGCATTAGGGTAGGTTAGATCTCTGAGCTTAAGGGTAGGCAGGACTATGTGGAGAAGAAACCTAGTCTCAAAAGAATATTTTTTTCTTTTGTCAGTGAATCTACATTAGGTAAACAGAAGGTCTGTTTATTAGGTAGTCTGTATTTGGTTATAACATCAATCAAGATGACTTTCAGCTGGATGGTGGTGGCACATGTCTCACCATAAATGAATAAACCTCTTAAAATATTAAGATAAATAAATTAGACTAATTGCTATTTGAATTTTTTTTTTAAATTGCTTATTTTTATTTTATGTATGAGTGTTTAGACTACCTATATGTTTGTGTACTAGATGTGTTCAGTGCTAGGAGAAGCCAGAAGAGGGCATCAGATCCTCTGGGGCTAGAGTTCCAGACAAGAGTAAGCCACTATGTGGTTCTTTACAAGAGCAGCCATGTACCCTTAAATCACTGAGCAATCTTTCCAACGCCAATTGCTATTTTTAATTACTATCATTGTTCTTGATTTGAGGTTGCAAAAAGAGAACACTGAATAGTACCAATTCTCATGACTAATGTAGCTTCAGTGGTGACATGTCTTTCTCGAATTTCATTTGCCTTTGGGTTTCATTTCAACAGTTGTTAAAGGTTGAAGTCCAAGCCAGGCGATGGTGGCACACACCTTTAGCCCCAGCACTCGGGAGGCAGAGGCAGGTGGATCTCTGTGAGTTCCAGGTCAGCCTGGTCTACAGAGAGAGTTCCAGGACAGGCTCCAAAACAATACAGAGAAACCCTGTCTCAAAAAACAAAACCAACCAACCAAACAACAACAACAACAACAACAAAAAAAAAAACCCACAAAATTTTAAGTTCAGAACCCTTGAATCAGTGCTACTATTCATTTCATCATAAGAATAATTGTTTTCTGATGTTAATGTTTGCTGTATATTTATCTTGATTCTTTAAGAAGATTATACAGGTTTTCAAACAATATAAAGTTATTATTAATGTTTCCTTATCTCAAAATAAATAGCGGTAGTTCAGGTGGGGTTTTTTTTGTTTGTTTGTTTTGTTTTTCTTTTTGTTTTTATTTATTTTTCATTGATTCTTCAGAAATTTCTTTTCTTTATTTCTTCTTTAACTTCTTATTTTAAGATAATATCTCAGGTTTTCCAGGCCTAAAACTTACTATGTGGCCAGGGATGACTTGAATTTGTGACCTTCCCTAGTGCTGGGAATATGTCACCAAGTCAGATTATGTGTTGCTAGGGATGGAACACATGGCTTCATATATTCCATCCAAGCACTTTACCTACTGCCTGAGCTGCATGGGCCCTGGTTATTTAGTCTTGATTTCTTTTTGTTTTGTTTCGTTTTGGTTTGGTTTTTTTGGGACAGGGTTTCTCTATGAAGCAGTCCTTCCTGGCTGTCCTAGAACTCCCTCTATAGTCCAGGCTGGCCTGGAACACTCAGAGATCCACCTACCTCTGCCTCCTCAGTGCTGGAATTAAAGATGTGCACCACTAATGCCTAGTTCCCTAGATACTGTCAATAATTTTTTTTTTCACTATGAGAAATATTTATCTAGACTGAGAGTATGATAAAGCGCTCACCTAGCATGTGAGAGTATCTAGTTTTATTTTTGTTTTGTGTATTTGGTGTTTATTTGTAGATGCTAATTTTAAGATAGAAAGTGAGACCTGTCTTTAAAATACCTCTTCTGATTGAGGGTTATAACAAGAGTTTAGAAGAATATTTTGTTTCAAATTATTCTAACAGTATATTTTTCTTTTTTTCTTTGTAGACTAGCAAAGAAGATAAGTTATCAAGTCGTATTCAGAGTATGCTTGGAAACTACGATGAGATGAAGGATTACATAGGAGACAGATCTATACCAAAGCTTGTTGCAATTCCCAAGCCTGCAGTACCAACGACGACAGATGAAAAAGCAAACCCAAATTTTTTTGAACAGAGACATGGAGGCTCTCATCAGAGTAACAAATGGACTCCTGTAGGACCTGCACCCAGCACTTCTCAGTCTCAGAAACGGTCCTCTGGCTTGCAGAGTGGACACAGTAGCCAGCGGACCAGTGCAGGTGGTAGTGGCACTAGCAGCAGTAGCCAGAGGCATGAGCGTGACTCATATAGCAGTAGTCGGAAAAAAGGCCAGCATGGGTCAGAGCACTCCAAATCACGATCCTCAAGCCCTGGAAAACCCCAGGCTGTTTCTTCATTAAGTTCTAGTCATTCCAGGTCTCATGGGACTGATCACCATAGCAAGGAACATCAGCGCTCCAAATCACCTCGGGACCCTGATGCCAGCTGGGATTCTCCTTCCCGAGTCCCTTTTTCAAGTGGGCAGCATTCAAATCAGTCTTTCCCACCTTCTTTGATGTCAAAATCTAGTTCAATGTTACAGAAACCCACTGCCTACGTACGGCCCATGGATGGACAGGAGTCTGTGGAACCAAAGCTGTCCTCTGAGCACTACAGCAGTCAGTCTCATGGTAATAACATGACTGAGCTGAAGCCCAGCAGCAAAGCACATCTCACCAAGCTGAAAATACCTTCCCGACCTTTGGATGTAAGTCTCACACTTGGAGTGGTTAGCATTGTGATTCTATAAAGTAATTTGTAGACATTTCAGTGAATTTGTACTATCCTTTTGCCTTAATAGTAAGACATAGAAATTAAAAAGTTTAAGAAAAAAAGTTTAAAGAACAACTTGGGAGTTGACTACCAAGTGGATCGATCCATAGAACTATGTACTGCCTTCTTGGATAATAAAGAAAATATGATTTGTAGGTTTTCAAATATTAAAATGATGAGTCAGTATAAACTAAAAGTAAGATTTATTATAGCTTACACTTCTTTTGGTTTTATGGGATAGTATAGCTTGTTTCTTTTTATTTAAGGAGAAAGTTAACTTGTTTGTTCTTATAGTGTTACAAATAAAGTAGATCATGGTTTATGGTGATAAATGGTTGGACTTTTGAGTCTACAGAAGTGATAATGTTGTGTAGTGCTGATGCCTCTTTCCTTTGCTCACAGCTAAAGGGCTGAGGCAGCCACTGTAACTGTACAAAAGTTAACATTCAAAATAACCAAAGAGCTAAGCATTCATAGTGAAATAGCTGAAAAGTTATGTTCATTAAACTGTCAGAATAATAGATTTTGCAAATCGTTGTCATATATGCAAGATTTATTTTTACTGTTTTATGTTTATATCCCACCTGCATGCATATATATATACACTTTGTATATGCCTGTGTCCATAGAGGAAGGATGAGGGCCTCAGATCCCCTGGAGCTGGAGTTTTGAACTGCCACGTGATTGCTTGGAATCAAACCTAAGTCCTCTGGAAGAATAGCCAATACTCTCAACCCCTGAGACATTTCCCCACTCCTTCAAGGTTTATCTTTTAATGTAGTTTATACAATTAAAAGGTTAAAAAGACAAAAGGAATAGCTTTGTTTGTTTGCTGGTTTGTTTTTCTAGACAGGGTTTCTCTGTATTGCTTTGGAGCCTATCCTGGAACTTGTTCTGTAGACCAGGCTGGCCTCGAACTCGCAGAGATCTGCCTCCCGAGTGCAGGGATTAAAGGCGAGTGCCACCAGTGCCCAGCCAAAGTTAAGGATGTTTGAGCACATATAGAAATCTTAAGCCAGCAAGATAGCTCAGGGGGTAAAATATAAGCCTGATGACTTGCCAGGTGGTAGTGGCAGTGGTGGCACATGCTTTTAATCCCAGCACTAGGATGGTTAGATAGATAGATCTGTGTGAGTTCAAGGCCAGCCTGGTTTACAGACTGAACCCCAGGACAGGCTCCAAAGCAACAGAAGCTCTTTCTTAAAAAACAAAAACAAAACAAAACAAAAAACAACAATAAAGCCTGATGAGTTCAATCCTGGATCCCATAGTGGAAGGAGATAACCAACTCCTAAGAATTGCTCTCTGACCTACTCTTCCCCACATTCCCTACCCTTAACACACACCCTACCCATACACACATGCAATAACAATAAAATTAAATAAAAAGAATCTTGGGCCTCAAGATATTGATCAATGGTTAAGAGCACTTGCAGCTCTTACAGAGGACCTGGGTTGCTTTCTAACACTCGGAAAAGTGGTAATTTTTTTCTCTGCTCAAATACATCATCTTTGAAACTAGATTTGGGTTTAGTTTCTTGATTTTTATTTATGCCTTAAAATTACCAATCTGTCTTCTATAGTTTATGGAATGCTAAGTAAAAATGTTCATTGTGGCCCATATTTCTAGTCTTTCAATAATATTCACTTTGCTCAGTTTAAGTGGAATGTTTACTCAGTTTATATCTCAGCATCTTGTTATGTTTTTGTATATGAAAGTTTGGAAATCTGATCATCTAAAAATTTATCTTAAAAAAATTGTAGGGGCTGGAGAGTGGTTCAAGGGCTAAGAGCACTGGCTGCTCTTCCAGAAGATCTCATTTAATTCTCAGCACCCATATGGTGGCTCACAGTTGTCTATAACTCTGATACCAAGGGATCAGATTCCCTCTTCTGGCTTCCATAGGAACTAGGCACACAAGTAGTGCACAGAACTATGTGTGGGCAAAGCAACTATGTACATACAATAAAAATGAACAAATTTGGGGTCTAGAAAGAGGGCTCAGTGGTTAAGAGCACTTGTTGCCCTTCTAGAGGGAGAAGACCCAGGTTCTATTGCTAACTCCCACACAATGGTTCACATCTATCTATAACTCCAGTTCCAGGGAATCTAGTGCCATCCTCTGGCTTTGCAGGACCAGGCAAGTATATGGCACCCATATATATGTCCAGGCAAAACAGATATATATAATAAAAATAAATCTTTTTAGAAATTTTGTATAGGAAGCTAATTCAAAATTTCTAGCTAGTGTTCTGACTTAAAATAATGAGATCATAAATAATTCCTCAAATTTTATGTAATTTGTAATAATGTTTTAAATACGTTTAGTAAATACTAAAATTCTAACAACAAATCACTTCAAATCTGATGTCCGTTTGTTTTTTCTTTTTCTTAAGGCATCAGTTTCAGGTGATGTAAGCTGTGTGGATGAAATACTTAAAGTAAGTTTCTTTTTAATCATTCTGATCTGTTATTTAATTATGATGCCTGTATTACCAACTCTTTCATATTCTTAATCCTTCCTTAACACCGATTGCTTATGTATATAACTTGATTATGCCATGTTCATCATAAATAACTGACTTTTCTGAGGTTCTAAACATATTTTGTTTACTGTTTGTAAGTAAAATATATTCTGGTTTTACCCTTGAAAAGAGGAAGAAACCAATTACAACTACATTTTCTTAGACTTATGATTAAAGACTTAAAAATCTCAGTAGTTACCAAGCTATTGTTGATAGTAGTTTGGTTTAAAATTCACCTGTACTTTCTGTTCTGGTCAGATACTACAATAGAATTTGTCCTCTGAATATTGATCTGGAGTGTTTATTAGACACACTTAAAGTGTCTACTGTGACTAAAAAAAGTGCATTCCCCTTCTAGAAAGAAGGAAAGACCATGTAGTGACTGAGTAACATTGGCTGCTTCTTGCTCTTAAGAGGAAAACAACAGTCACATGTGACTTTTACTGTGTTTTGGAAGCTACTGAATTCTTTTGTCTATACTTGGATTTTATGGCATATCCTGAGACTTACCTGTCTTGGCCTATTTCCTATAATCTGTTCCCACCATTTAATCTCCCGTTACTTCCTTTAGCTCATACAGTCTCCTTTTACCATTTTGCTGAACCTGTTTTTCTAATGTCCTTTTCTTGTCTTCTGCCTGAGGTATAATGCATATAAGAACTAGTGTTCTTATTTTCTTTACTGTCTCTGCTGTTTGAGAGTTTTACATTGTTCCTTTGAGAAACTTTGTTTCTTCCTTGTTACTGAGCTTCATTGTTTGACTTCTTGTCTGCTTTTACCACCTCTTTGGTAGTATTATGGCTTCTCCTTTCACTTAGTGATAGGCATAATTTCTAGCCTCTTTCTTTTTACACTATTACCTTATTTATGTGTCATCTTTAGCTTTATCAGACAACTATTCAATCCTTCTCTCCTGCCTTGGTCTCTTATAGGTTTTGGTTTGTGTCTCTTAGTTCTTTCCTGTTAATCCACTCCTTATTATCTCTGATTTCTTCCATATATTCTGTTTAATCACAAAATTAGGCTTAGACTTAAAATTTTCTTTGAAAATCTTCATTCTTTCCATTTCTGCTAACTTCAGTAGTTTTAAAAATCCTCTCTTGGGCCAAGATGATTCAGCAGGTAAAACTGCTTTTCACACCACCAGCCTAAATGACCTGAATTAATCCTGCAGAATCCACAGTGAAAAGAGATAACTGACTCCCAAAAGTCCTCTGACCTCCGCATGACACTCTTTGACATCTCCTTGTGTCACATGCCCATATGCCCACATAGTAGTAGTAATTTTTATTTTGTTGTTTTTTGAGACAGGGTTTCTCTGTGTAGCCCTGGCTGTCCTGGAACTCACTCTGTAAACCAGGCTGGTCTCAGACTCACAGGGATCCTCCTGCTTCTGCTTCCTGAGTCCTGGGATTATAGCTGTGCACCACTATACCTGGCTCAAACAGTAGTAGTAGTAGTAGTAGTAGTAGTAAGTAGTAGTAGTAGTAATAGTAATCCTTAAGACAGTCTTAATTTTTTTTGTTTCTGCCTTTAAAATCTCTCAGCCCTGGCCTTCATAACTTGACCTCTTTTGCCAGAAGTTTTCAGAGGCTCTCTGAGACTGAGATTGCTAAGACCACAATTCTAAGGAAGAATTTAACGTCCAGACACCCCATAGTCAGTCCTTAGCACTCCTGACTACTTTTGCCAAACTAATTTTCGTAAGCCATAGTTCTTCTTTTTAAAATACAGTTTCCTGTAGTGAATACTGGCTTTGAATTTCTGTCCTCCTGTTTCACCTTCCAAACACTGGGATTAGAGACATGAACTTCCACACTCTTATCACTTCCTTAAAGTCAAATTCTTTGGAACACTTCCCTCCTTTGTCTGTAATAGTACATACATAATTGTCTTCTGTAGAATCCCAGGGAAACCTTTCTTCTTCCCCTGTCAAGCCACAGTAAAAAAACTCTTCACTTTCAATCTCATAAAGTATTCACTCATCTCTCTCAACTTATTTATTTAATGAGTGGCTTGACTTCATGTATATGCACATTGTGTGTGCACTGCCCAAAGAGATCAGAAGGGGCTGACAGATCTCCTGGAGTTGGAGTTACAGACAGTTGTTAGTTGCCATGTAGGTCCTGGGAATTGACCCAAGGTACTTTGGAAGAATAGCCAGTGTTCTTAACCACTGAGCCATCTCTTAAGCCCCAAGCATTCATGTTTTTAAGATACACACACACACACACACACACACACACACCCTTGTGCATAAGAAATGCTTGTGTGTTTGTGTGTGCTTTGTTGTTGTTGTTGGGTTTTGTTTTGTGTTTGTTTATGTGTTCTAGTAGAACATAACACATTTCCCTTTGAAGTCTTAGCAGTATATGGAACTTAAGGAACTTAAGAGCTGGAAGACTTTATTTGTTTCTTTGTTCTTACTAAACATATAGCTTACATTTTTCTAGGTATGGACTTGACATGTGCTTTGAGTGTTTTAATGCCCAGTCAGGTTGATTGTTAGAAAAAGTAGCTGTTGAATATATTTTGGCATTTGATTTGTGAAATGCCAGTACTAAAAATCTGAGGATCAGAAGTTTCCACCTTCCCCTCATAGTTTTTTTTCCTATTCAACTTGTAATCTCAGTTTCTAGGAACTCTTTTGAACATTAGGAAACATTTCTATGTAAAAATAATATATTTATTGAAAAGTTTCAGTTGTCAGTGATTTCACCTATACGTGTCAAGTGCTAATGATGTGGTAGTAATGCTAGCTGTACTGTTTAAGCTGACCTTCCTGGGCTGGGCATAGGAAATAATACAAGTACTGTAAGAAGACAGCAATTACATGCAAGTGGTTAGTTTTTTTTTTTTTTTTTTTTTTTTTTGTTTTGTTTTGTTTTTTTTTTTGGTGGGGGGTTCCTCTTTTTTATTAGTTCATTGAGAATTTCATATAACATATTTTGATCATACTCACCTACAACTCCTTGAAGTTCTACTACCCCTTCCCTACCCACCCACCTTTATGCCCTTTTTTTTTTCCCCCAGAAAGTTCACCTTGTGCTGCCCATATACTCTTGAATATGTGTCTATGCTGGAGTTTGGCTGATCTACCAAGGACCACACCCTTAAAGAAAACTGACTTTCCCTCCCCAACAGCTAGCTATCAATTATCAATAGCTCAACTTGGGTGGGACTTTGTGCCCATTTCCTCTGCCTTATGCAAGTGGCTGCTTTAAGAGGTTTTAGTAGATACTGTGTCAACTGCCCTGTCCCTTATCCCCTTTTGTCATTCTGTTGATCAAAGGTAGCTACTGTTAAGCATCCTTCCAGAGGCTTGACTTTAAAAATTTTAAATATTTACTAAGGCATAGACTATGATTTGTGTTTGATAATAATATGCTGTGGACATCATTTCATATCATAGTTGAATTTCTCATTTTAATGTCTGTCTTGTGTTTCATTGTATGGATGTCTGCTAATTTGTTTAATCAGTACTATGTTGCAGAATACCAGAGTTGTTAACATTTCGTCTATGAGTCCTTGGAATCTTTATATAATCTCAGTGTATCTTTATATAACTGTAATTATAGTCACAGTATAAATTCCTAAGCACCATCAGTCCCCTTTTTTACCTAATGGTTAAGTTTGAACATAATGCTGGAAATAAAATACTCCTTTATTCTAAGTCTTGATACCTCTCTTCCTTGACCCTCTGACATACACGTTGTTAATATAAATTCATTTGGCTGTTTTTGCCCCCCTCTTATACAGGGTGTCATATAGCTTAGGCTGCCTTGACTCTTTCTCTCAAGAGCTGAGATTAGAGGCATATGCAACCATGCCCAGTTATTTGTAGCATGAGTAGACTGAAGACATTGAATGAAATCAGACCCAGGGTCTTGCTTACCTATTTTCTTCCTCATATGCTTTTGAAATTTCTCTTCTGATCTTCACATGACCAAAATTTTCAATCAGCATGTGGACTCTATAGTCAGAATTCCTACAGTGAAATTCTTTGTTCAGTATTTACTAATCATGCAACCATGAATAAAGAATGTTGACTTTTGTTTCAATTTCACCTTAAATAAGTTAGGATAATAATATCTGTCTCATGATTGGAAGAAATGATTGATAAGCAAAACATTTAGCATCATTTCTGATCCATTAATGGTAAGATTAGTGTTGTTTTTCTTACTGTTACCTTCTTCATTTCTTTAGCAACATCTTTTTTTTTTTTTTTTTTTTAAATAGGATTATATAATATGCATTTAGGGGGCATGGTGGCTCATGCCTCTAATGTAGCACTCAGGAGTCAGAGGCAGAGGATCAGCACAAATTCAAGGCCTGTCTGATCTACATAGCAAGCTAAGGGAGCCTGGGCTATAGAATGAGACCCTGTTTTTAAAAAACAAGTAAACAAACCCATTAGAGCTTATATTTCATTACAGACTGATTTCTATAACTACCCACATATTTTTATCACCCTGCCTATATACCCTTAAAGTCAGAGAGAATTTGTTACTTTCTGCTCCATTGCCAGCCCTAGTGCCTGTACACAGTTCTGCCTTATTAAAACCCACTTAGAGGGTCAATCATAAAACCAGTATTTCTAAGTACAAAGCTGGTTTTTAGCTGTATAGTTTTATAACCTTGTCCTGGTTGAAAACAAACTGTAATAATTACATTTCAGGAGATGACGCATTCATGGCCTCCCCCTCTAACGGCTATTCATACACCATGCAAAACAGAACCTTCTAAATTTCCTTTTCCAACTAAGGTAAGTAAATAAAGTCTGTCTTTGATAATGTAAGAAAACTCTAAATGGCACAACTAAAATCACATAAATTCAAAATTGTCTTGCCATTCCCTAGTGGGAAATACAATAAATAAATTTAAAAAATAAATGTAGTGATGATTTTTATGAAGAAATTTTAAAATAATAGAATTGAGAACATCTTGGACTGAGAGATACTTAAGAGAATTTGGAAGGCAATACAGAGAGAGAGGAAAAAACAATTGATGTTTATTGCAAACTCATGTTATTCTAGACTGAAGGTGGCTAGACCTGTTCAGGTTGTTTTCTGAGGAACTTCTCAGAACCTAGCCACAAAAATGTTTAGATCCTATGAGAAAAGGCCCTCACACAGCAGTTTTTAGCCCATCTAAACTCTGCAGATTAATTTTTTAAGCATGAATTTATACTCACAAACAATACAGAAATACAAGGCTGGGTGTAGGACTCATGCCAGCACTATGGAAGCAAAGATAGGAAGATCAGGAGTTTAAGGCCAACCTGGCTACATTTTCAGAGTTCAAAAAATCTCCCCCAAATAATCAGGCAAAAATACATTCTCATGTGAAAGTTTGTTCAGGACTTGTAATACCAGCTCTTCCCTGGTTCTTGTTCTCTAGCTCATCCAATTTCATGTGTCTTTGCAAACCTTTTCATAGCATTTGCATGCATGTGTACAGATTCATAAGTGTGGACTCATTCCATATAAATATGCTATTTCTATAAAGATAAATTGTATCATTAATCTGTCCACTGTGGTCTTGGAGTCCTTTCCATGTTGTTTACTTAGAGGTATTTAATGTCTTCTAAGTACATCTAAAGTATGATTTATCTGACTTTACTTAGCCATTTCTCTTTGTTTACTATCAGTTTTAATTACTGTAAGCAATTATTTGTGTTTATGTGTGAATGTGTGTGTGTGTGTGTGTGCGCAGGTGTGTGTGTGTGTGTGTGAACTGTGAACGTGCGTACTCTGTGAACTGGTTCTTTCCTTCCATCATGTAGGTCCCAGGGATAGAGTTCAGATTGTTAGGCTGGCAGCAAGTACCTTTGTTCATCCAGCTATTTCATCAGCCATCATTTTTTTATTGTGTGTTTGTGTTTTGAGCATGTGTATATGTTTGTGTGTGTGTAGGTGACAGTCCTGTGCACTTGGGTGTGGAAGCTAGAGTCCGTGTCAATGTCTTCCTCTATTTTCCACTTTATGTTTCATTTTGAGACAGTGTTTCATGTAGACCAGACTGCCCCTGAACTCTATGTAGCTTTTGGTAATCTTAAACATCTCCTTTGTTTGCTATTTTGTTTTTTGAAACAGGATTTCTCTGTGAAACAGCCCTGGCTGTCCTGGAACTCACTCTGTACACCAGGCTGGCCTCGAACTCAGAGATCTGCCTGCCTCTGCCTCCCAAGTACTAGGTCGAATCCATATACTTGAAGTCAAAAGTGTCCAGTTTTAGTGCTTTAAGTTTTTTGAAATATTTCCATGTAGGAAATGAGCATTCTGAACTGAAATATGAACATAACATTGATTTATGTTTCATATATACCTTATACACATAGCCTGATGGCAATTTTATACATCTTTATTTTGCTGGCATTTTGACTGTATCCATCATATAAAGTTAGGCATGTAATTTTCCTTAAGGTGCTTTGGTCAGGTATTTTGTCACTGCAACAAGAAAAGTCACCAATATGTCTAACAAAGATGAGAAAATAAAATCAAGGATGGGCCAGGGGGTGGTGGTGCACGCCTTTAATCCCAGACAGAGGACGGCATATCTTCTGAGTTCAAGACCAACCTCGTCTACAGAGTGTATTTCAGGATGGCCAGGGCTTTTACACAGAGAAACCCTGTCTCAAAATAAATAAATAAATAAATAAAATAAAATAAAATAAAACCAAGGACTGAGGCCAGTGATAGCTTAGTAGGTAAAGATGCTTGCTACCAAGCCTGATAACTTGAGTTTAATTCTTGGGGCCTACATGAGGAAGAAGAGGAAAGAACATTGACTCCCCACAAGTTATCCCCTCCTTCTTCCCACAGTGTTTCTATGATTTTTCAAATCTCATCTATTTTGCTCTTAGTTCTTTTTAGTCATTTCTACCCTAATTTTTTATGCTTTTTTTCTGCTTTCATTTACTATTCTTTTTAGAAAACCCTTTTCTTGAAATGGAAAATAGTATTATGAAACTGTGGTTTTCCTTTATTTATATAAGTATGCTTCTAAGCAAAGCATCACAAATTTAATATTCTGTGTTTTCTTTTTTATGGTTTATTTTCAAGTTTTGTTTGTTTGGTTTTTGGTATTTCAAGGCAGGGTTTCTCTGTATAGAACTGACTGTCCTAATACTCTGTAGACCAAACTGGCTTCAAATTAAGAGATCTGTCTGCCTCTGCCTCCCAAGTGCTGGAATTAAAGACATGTACTACTACTGGTGTTTTTAAAGAAACATTTTATTATAGATGTATGTTTATATATATGTATAATGCATATTATATATATATATATTATTTGTGAGATTTTTCCACATTACTGATTTATGGGTTAATTCCATTTGGGTCAGAGAGCATAAGCATTTTATGTTTAGTAAGACCTATTTAATCCCAAAATATTCCTCCTTTTTGTAAGTATTTTCTGTACACTTGAAAAGAATATGTTTTGCTACTGCTTAGTATTCTGTGTGTGCCAAGCCAAGTTGGTTTAATATTAGGCAAGTTTTCTGTGTTATTTGTCAACAGCAGTGAGGCAGGATCTAGAAAAATAGCTCTGCTTCTGTCTTATAGTGGTCTGAGTTTTTTTCAGTGACTTATACTTGGGTGAAGCCAAGCTTTTTTTGGTCTCAGAAAAGAATTTCTGTATAAGTCAGAATGAAACAGAGTTGGACTGCATTAAGAAGAAGTTTTAAAGTAGATTTAAGACTATATATACACTAGGAGGGACAGATACATTCAGGAAAAGTAGGGAACACATCTAAGAGTCTCCCATAAGTTTACATTAGCTGTATATTGCACTTTGGTGGCTTCTAAAATTATCCCAGCCGTTGCTAAGGAACCTAAGTGAGATCATAGAGGAGTTCTGGTGATGGGTAGGATTTCGGTTAATAAGGTAAAATCCTAGGTCATAAAGATCATGTAGGAAATTAAGGTGTTTTTATTATAAAATTTACAGACTTGTTTGTATGCTTTCTAGAAATTTTCAGTTTATATCTGTAAAAGGAATATACTCAAAAGTCATGCTTGCCCAGCCCTTAAGAATGGTCCATTGTTATTTTAACATTTTTATTTGCTTGGTATAAAAGGAATATTATCTCTATGTAGGCAACCTCAGAGCATGTGTTGTTAATGGTGCTGGAATTATTGGTTCTGGTGAGAAATTTCAACCAGACTCTGGAATGGGGTCTCTTCCCTTCCCATGTTCTCTTAGTATTCTGTCTCCTTTTCCCTCCAACCCTACCCAGCCTCTCATATTCTATGTCCCATACTGGCCTCATATTCTGTGTAGCTAAGGATGACCTTGAAAGTCTGATCCTCTTGCCATTGTCTTCCAAGTATTGGAGTTGTGTGCCCCACCATTCCTGGCCTGTTATCTATAATCGGTATTAAGATTAAAAACAAACAAACAACAACAAAAAACAAACAACAGCAAAAAAAAAAAAAAAAAAAAAAAAACCCAACTCTTCCTGTACAGCTAGCATTTCTCTTGCTTGTCATTCCTTTTTATTTATTGAGCTTTCTATCTGGTGCCAGCTCCTTCTGTCCTACCTGTTTCCTTCAGTACTTTTTGCTTTTTATGTGTGTGAGTGTGAGTGAGTGAGTGTGTGTTAGGGGGAGATATTATCTTGCTCTATTGTCCAGCCTGGCCCAGAATTCCTGGGCTCACATTATCCCCTGCCTTAGCCTCTCAAGGTAGCCTAGCCTTTAAACGTCTGAGCCATCTCTCCAGCCCAGTTATAAAAATTCTAACTTGTAGATGTTTTGCCTTGAATTGTGTGTGCGTGCGTGTGTGTGTGTGTGTGTGTGTGTGTGTGTGTGTGTGTGTGTGTATTAATATGTGTATTCTTTTCTTGTGCTTGATTGATGTTTATTGGACTTGAAATTTGTGATTTATAGTTTCTACCAAGTTTCTTTGCAGTTGCTTACAGTATTCAGGTTCTTTTATGTTTCCTGCTTCTCCATGCTTCAAGGACTCCAGCTTCTCAATACAGCTTTCTGTGTTGTTCTATTTTGTATTTCTTCTCCTGCGATACTATGTGGTTCTGCTGTTGATCTCAGTTAATGTATTGTGATCTTAAGTAGGGTTTATACGTCTAAATTTCTGTTCTTTATTTAACATATTATGATATATCCCAAGCATTAGATTTGACAATCATTCTTGTTGATGACAACCTTTTTTAACAACACTTTTTGTTTGCTTTTTTTCCTTTCTTTCTTCCAGAGACAGGGTTTCTCTGTGTAACAACAGTCTACCTGTCCCGGAACTCACTCTATAGACCAGGCTGATCTTAACTCACAGAGATCCACCTGCCTCTGCTTCCTGAGTGCTGAGATTAAAAGTGGGCACCATCACCACCACCCATCTGTTTGTTTGCTTGTTAGACAGGGTCTTACTGTGTAGAAATCCACCTGCCTCTGCTTCCTGAGTGCTTGGATTAAAGATATTCGACACCATATCCATCTATAAACATTTTTAAATAGAAAGCTAGGACAAAACGAAAGCTGTAAAGATGGTGGATATATAAAAGGAGATTGCCTTTTGAAGTGCATTTCTATAAATGGTAGCAGACAAACATACTAGAAGTAGCATATGTTGAGAGTAAGAATAGAATATTTAGTCATATTTATATGATGAGTATAATGATGTGGTAAAAAGTAGAAATCAACTGGTAGACGGAAAAGAGATGCTAACCTTGAAAAATTTTAAAAGGCTTTGAGATTTGGTCCAGAATTAGAAGGCAGTAGCTTTTGAATTTGAGCACAACTAGGT